TCAGCAGGTTGTGTTCTGTCAGCATTTGCCCAATGGTGACGGTTTTAAAACTGAAAGTAAACAAGGATATACTTAAGCTGTGCCTCGTGCCAAAACACCGTATTCCTCTGGGCTATGCATTTTAATACTTCCTGAGGGAGGAGAGGGAAACACTTGGGAAACAAGAACTTGAGAACAGCTGCTCCTGTCTAAGAACAGATCATAAGTGTATCTTTATGCAGTTGTGCAAGTTCATTGCATGTTTAAAATGAGCCCCTTACTTTGAATAACTTCCGTGACGTTGTCTATTAAAATTGTCTGAGCAACGTTGTTGAGAGTGGCTAGACATCTTTGTTCCCGAAACAAATCAATTTTTCTCCCAAAAGCTATTGAAATTCTGTTTGTAGTAAGTGGTGGTAAGTACAGGCTTGACAGCATAGCTCCTGATGTTGAGCTGTACATTGACAGAAAAATGCTGACAACTGGTTTTAATAAAGTGAATCGTAACTGGATAATTGATTTAGTTTAGTCTAGGCAAAGAACATTTTTCTGTCTTCTGACTTAATCTGAAAGAGCTGGCATCTGATTTTTTTGGTTTTGTGGGGGGTTTTTTGTTTGTTTTCAGGCGGTGCCCCAAACTATTATCCAAATAGCTTTACTGGTCCGGAAGATCAGCCCCTTGTAAAGGAGAGCCGCATGTATGTTTCAGGAGATGTGCAGCGCTTCAATAGTGCAAATGACGATAATGTGACTCAGGTATGATGTCTGAAAAGACTTTATACTGCTTATTACATAAGATGAGTTTAAAGGATATTAATAATTCAAACATGGCTTTCCTCTGAAGCATCTGAGCTGATCTGAAGTTCAGCTCTCATGAGAGCTTGGAAGATCGCCATACAGCTTAATTTAATGAATAACCGAATTTTTGCTGACAGGACAGTGAATTCTCATAGACCTTTGCCATCCATATTCTGGGTACTGATATCTAGAGGTTGTTACTTTGTCTCCTTGAATTAGTGTCTGCAGATATGCAAACTAGAGCATGCGTGTGGTGTCACGATCATCAATTGGATAAATTGGACCTCAACAGCATTGTTTGCTTTCATTAATTCAGTAAGCAACAATTATTTCAAGCTAGAAATGAAGAGTTGTTAGCAGGTTTGCCAAGAAAAACAAACAAACCCACAGAAAAACCCTAAACACAAATTGGTTACTTTTAAGTATTTTGAGTATTTTAAGTGTTGCCTGACTGTAAGTGAAAGCTATTATTTTTCAGTAATAATAAATCCTAAAAGTCTAGTAAGTACTGTTGGCTGCTGCAGGCAGAATGACTTGCTTTTGGGAATTTTAATATAAAGCTTTCCTTCTAATCACAAGGTGCGAGAATTCTATACCAAAGTGCTGAAGGAGGATGAACGCCAAAGGCTGTGTAAAAACATTGCTGATCACCTTAAAGACGCACAACTCTTCATTCAGAAGAGAGCTGTAAGTGGCCTATTTGGTTTTTAGCCTTTGCTCTTCATTCCAGATTTTCTTGCAGTCTAGTAACTTTGTCAAAATGGCAGTATGCTTATGGAAAGGAAGATTAGGAGTTCTTATCTGAGCAGGCAGCTTTTAGATTTCTCTTATGCAGAAATTATCAGTACAGAACACTTAAATATGTGCCTATGTACATAATATAAATAACATGTAGCGTGTTAAAATAACTTTCCTGATGGGAATAATGGGATTGATGTTGAACTTCAAGAATGTCTTTATGTGTTTAGCTTGGTGCTTCAAAATTGAGTCACTGCCAGTGTAATGTTTTGCTATAAACAAGGAAAAGGCAGTGAGGGCCAGAAAGGGATTGAATCTTTCTTCTTCCCAGTGGAACTTTGTTTAAATCAGGAAAGAGCTCTATGTGAGATAATAGAAATAGTGTTGGAAGATGTTCATAGCTCCTTTCTGCCTGGTCAGAATTAAACTTCTGGGAAGGAGTTTTCATACTCTTGTTCCTGTGATACGTGCTGCTTGTAGGCCACAGGGCAGAAAATGTGTTAAAGAATACATGTGAAGTGGAGGAAAACTTGTTGCCTTTTCTGTTCCGTCCTCCTGTTTAGGTGAAGAACTTCACTGATGTTCATCCTGACTATGGTGCTCGTATTCAGGTGTTGCTGGACAAGTACAACGCTGAAAATGCGAAAAAGGTATGCTAATGATTTCTGTAGTTGAATATTGGCTGACTGTGAATGAATTATCTTGCCTTCTCTTGTAAATCCAAGAAAGTGAGAAATTGGTCTTGATTCTCATTTGGTTTAAATGGCAGAAATCCGTGCATGTAGAATTACAAAGTGAAGGAACATCACTCCAGTTACATTTAATTAAATGTTGATTAATCAGTGATGTACAATTACCTTGTTTCAGTTGCGTTTTTGTAAGGCTTCTGGAAGATAGCTGTACAGGATATGTGCTGTGTTCAGGTTGATCCTTCAGACCAAATGATGACCTGCTGTTTGTAATGGTGATGAAACATTTCCACAAGCTTTTCCCTGGCTCAGTGGTTACTGCTTAGAATATCAAAACTGTTGCTTCAAGTACTCATTTTTTTCTGAAGTTCCCTTAACTGCTTTTAATGGAAATTGCTCTTAATATTTCTTTTGTATTATTTTTTAGGATGTAATTAGGACATACACACAGTCCGCATCTCGTGTGTCTGCCAAAGAAAGATCCAACTTGTAAAGTGTGCTGCAGAGACTTACTCTGATTTTTGCGTCCTTACAACTGTTGTTGAAGATGTTAATGAATGTAGCAGACTTCCACACAAATACAGAAGTATTCTACAGGCTTGGTTTTATTAAGCTTTCAAGTGCCTGTATCTATATTGGAAACTAGGGAATGCAAGCTAACAATCCTAGTGCCTTCCAACACTAGTGCTTTATTGTTTGTTAACATGCAGTGTTTTAAAGGAAATTCATAATTTAAAATTGTCTTCATTCTAGAAACAAACATAAGTTTAATACTGATTAATTTTTTTTAATTGTAAAACTTCCCTGACTAAATCACACAGTAGAGATTCTATAATGATACTGTGAATATCCTTACAGATAAACTTGTTCATATTAAAAAGTTGATACTGCTCAATACTTCTAATAAAATAGTTATCTGTGTGTATTTGTAGACTCTTCCTTTGAATTTCATTTTTGGCTTTCCAGGAGTAAAATTATAATATGCAGTAGTTTGAGTAAAATGTTGGTTGTGTTTCATTCCTTATGACAGAAATTAAATGTAGCTACTAAAAGCTGTTCCATTTACATTTGTAGAAAGCTATTTCTCAGACTCGTTAATCTACTAACCTACTGTGAAAAAACAGCTATAGATGCAGTAAAATAACATGAACTGATGGCCAACTCTGTTTTGGGATTCAGTTGGATTTTTACCTGATCAGGCAGGTAGGACCTGAGAGAGGGTGGGAACAGTTCTTGCTGGAACATGGAATCTTAATGAGTTTTGGAGAGGAATGAGCAAGGCTTAATCTTTAATTTTGGTTGTGTCTGCTAAATTAATTATATTGTCTTCCTCTTTTATTTCTGAAATAAAACTGAATTTAAAGACCTCTTGGCAACATGTTGTCTGTTTCCTGTGCAAATGTTTCCAAACAGTTTATTTTAATCTAGAAAGTTCATAAGTTCATCTGTTTTTCTGGAGGTCATGCAGAAGCTGTTGGAGTTCAGGGTGATCAGTATCTATTTCAAAACTTACTTGACCTGCACAGGCCCTGACTGCCAACAAAAGCCTTGGACTCAAGGCTGATGCTTGGAATTCATATGTAGGGGCCAGACACTACATTCTGGTCAGCTCTGATATGTGAAATTACTACTTACGAACTTTCTGTTTAATTTCCTACGCCTCCAGAAATGGGAATGCCACTCACATCTGCAGTAAGCAGTGCCTACCATTGCGAGTACCGTATGAAGGGAAAAAGTTGCTGTCCCACTTTACTGTGGATTTTGTTTGATGATGCCTTACTTAAGCCTCTCTTTGCTGAAGAACCTTTCATTTTTGATTTGTAAACTTTGGTGGCAATTTACAGAATTGTCACAAGGTTGTCTAGTTTTGCACTGCAGTTCACTCAAATTTTAGTGAAGGACAGTAACAGTTTAATAGAGTATGTAGAGTTGAAATACAGCACTTACCAAATAGCCTTTTAAAAACCTTTCAGTACAGAGATTTATTCTACCATCTATGTTACCCCAGTGGTTCGTTCTGCTTTTCTTACTGCAACTCCTTTTTTCCTAAATGACTGCTTTTTGTTTCACAGCAAGGAACTATATGCCTCATGCCTCATTGTACATTGTAAGGTAACCTTTACAAAATAAGTGGCTAAATACACCTCCTTACGATGTGGTGGAGAGGGCACTGTGACATGAACTCATGAGGGTTTTAGTAGGGTGTTTAACGTGGACAGCTATTTTATTAACTTTGTCCTCGTGGCCTTTATCTGACCATGCCCATAAATGATTATCACTAATAAATTCTACTCTAAGCTCTACTAGTTTAGAGTGGAGGTTGGGTTGAAATTTGGTTGGTATTAAGTCAGAAAAGAAAACGAAGCACTAGGGAATGAAGAAGAGAGAAGAAACATCATGTGCAGTACTGTGGTGTGTGCCTTCTGCAGCTGCCTTTGTTCTGAAAACTCACAATTTCAGTGTAGTTGTGGTCAAAAGGCTGACTTATGTTCTGTGCCGCTAAACTGTATTATACAGTAAAACTTGACCGTTTCTTAAAAGGCATTGAGAGGGTTAGGCAACACCAGAAGAACAATAATGCATTTCTTCAAATAAACAAGATGATAAATCAATTTACAGCTACTTTGAGAATAATAAGACTGTTTACATGACAGGACACAACCTCACTTATATTTTGACTTTGTGTTCTGCTCAAGTAAAATCAAATATTCCTTTGGCAGGTTGGTTGTTGCAATACAATTTTCAGTTATGTGTAAAGGAGAATTGCTCAACACTTTCCTATTACTGTTTTGTTTTAGATACATGTATGTGGAATTAGGAATGAATTTGAAACTTGTTTTGGAAATTACAGCTTTTCCTGGAGTTCCTCTCCTTCTTGTGGGCCCTTTCCTTTTATTTGTGAGTTGTTTTCCCTTTTCCAAAGAGTTTGGACTTGAGTAGCCAAAAGCAAGCAACAGACTCCAGAATTGCAGTGGACATTTGTTGAAGTGGGCTGTGCTGGGAGATGAGGGATTGTATGGAGTTGCTAAATCTTCTCCAGGGGAAAAAGGGTGAGGTAGGTTTGCATCAGATAGTTACCCCTTTAGGAACATTGGAAAAAATAAGCCCTGAATTCCTTTCTTGAACCTAGCCATGAAGATGATGTGGTGCATGGTAAAACTTGACCTTTCTTCCCAAGCAATATCGCAAAACTTAATCTGAACCAGTGTTTGGGTGCGCAGTTGTGTGATCATGACACAGGTCATGATATGCAAAGCTGGACTTGAGTGTAGCCTTGACTCAACTAGTGTGGAGATTGTAACGTAAGCAGTTGCATGAGGCCATTTTGGACAGAACTGGGAAAAGAACTACAGCTCTAGTTTGATTGTAAATGAAATAAAGACAATTTTGCCAGGTTTGTGGTTTGTCTGTCAGTAATTGCTAAATTCCCACTTAGCTCTTGAATCCAGACTAAGAGCTAAAGACCTTCTGTAGCCTGTGCTGTACTATCTTCTCACAAATAACTGTTGAGAGATGCTTTGCAGGTACCTTAATGTTCCCTTTCTCATCTGTCCCATTGAGAAAGGATCAATGATTTCTTGTGAAAACTTCTCACACCTGAGACGTTCTGTGGTCCTCTTCTAATTCAGGATGATTTTTCAGTTGTGGGAATGGATCATTTAGGCTGAAGAAGATTCCTGAAAAAAAGCCCTATGTTTGCAAATGGTTGTAAAGGGTTGAATATTTACATAGCCTAAGAAAGCTAATCAAGTCTAAACAATGAGGCAGTGGGGTAAAAATAGTAAGTGAAGTAGCTTGATACTCAGTTCACTGGTAATGCCGACGCTTCCACAGCCTGGGTTGCTGTGGAGAGCCTGTATGATTTAGTTGTGTGAGAAAAGCTTGAGCTTTGTTCTGGCAGGGTTCCACCCAAAGTCAAACTTCTGGAAATCTCACTGCATTGCAGTCCGAGAGTAAATGGGCCCTCACAAGCTGTGCTGATTCTTATTTTCAGGTTACATGCTACAGTTTGGTAAATTGAAAGCTGTACTTTTTTAATAGAAAAAGTAAAATGTTTTTGCATCCTGCTTACCAGAGGAAAATAGCTAGATCACGGAGGTCTAGTACTGAAATGTGATTAATGGTGATGTTTTTCAGCCTTTAAGTTGTAGCCTGACCTGTTTCAGTGAATGATGATACGTTGCTCTTTACCTTGAAAAAGAAAACAGTAGACACCTGTTACTTTGCAATTGTTTTCAGAAGAACTTGCAGACAATGTCTTTGTAGTTTCTTGAAAATGTCAGAAATGTTCACCTTGATCTAAATCCATCTCATCCAAATCATTACAGGGTTATAAAAGATGTTTTGCCTGGTTGCTGTAATCAAAGTTGGGTCCAATGATTTGATTCAAATACTATAATGCTAAAGCTATAGTGGAACAAGTCAGAAGTAAAACTTCATTTCTTGTTTTGTAGCATGTGATAAATCACTAAAATGTTTTATATAGATTTCACACAATCACAGAATCTCAGGAGTTGGAAGGGACCTCGAAAGCTCATCCACTCCAATCCCCCTGCCAGAGCAGGATCACCAGACCAGGTCACACAGGAACACGTCCAGGCGGGTTTTGAATGTCTGCAGAGAAGGAGACTCCACAACCTCTCTGGGCAGCCTGGGCCAGTGCTCTGTAACCCTTAGAGTAAAATAGTTTTTCCTTATGTATTTTGCTGAGTCTGTGAAGTGTTTATTCTTTGCTCATTCCTCTCAGATTTCAACATCTTAAAACATTTCAACATTTTAAAACTTTGACCAACATTGGGAACCTTGTTATCTTGTGTTGATTTTTTTTTTTTCAGTGCAATAAATCCTTGTCTCACAGTAATTGTTGATTCAGGATTGACAGCAACAGCATTGACGTACAAGTGGATGCACTCTTCTACAAACAAATAGCTGGGGAGGAATCATCTCTCTCCTGTTTTTTACACTGAAGTCTCAGACATCTCTGTTTGACCTTGTGCATGTATGTTGTAAGAATTATTGAGGAATAAGGATGATGGGAGATACTGTTTACAGACAGTTGCAGTTGCAACACTCCCCAAGGAGAATGATAGTACAAAATACTTTAAGGCAGCCTTCCCTGGGATGGTAATTGGGTGAGTTTTCAGCTTTCAGTCTGGCTTTCGCTCACAGATGCTGATGCGATTGCCATTGGAAATGTGTGAAGAAGCAGGTAACGAAGTTCTTGTGGAAGCTGATATCTCTTTTTCTGTACTTGGACTGTGTTGGTCTGTAAGACTGTGAAAGGGTGAGGGTGTCTGGGAGGTCTGAACCCAAACACCCATCTCTCGCTTCCCCTTCAGCTTGCTTTATTCAGTCCACTGCAGTTACTTCACCCCTCTAGCTCATGTCCAGCCTTCTTTTTGGTTCCTCCTCGCTTTTTGAAAACAACTCGATTAAAATGATGTTTCTTCACATTAGCATTGTCTTGATATAACAGATCAAAGGAAAACATGCAGAGTAAATCGCCTGTTTGATCAAACACCGTCTTTTGTTGACTGCTGTAGTCAATGTCTGCCCAAATGGCACACAGCTGACCCCCTGCCTGAGCAGAGGTCTGCACGACCTGTTCCCAGCTGGCTCTGCTGAAGCAGCAAGCTGGCCAAACCACTGCTGCTTTAAATTATGTAATAGCTGCTCTCCTTAAAGGTTTAATCGTTAACAGAAGTCTAACATATTTTTGCCTCACATTTTTTCCCTCTAATCTTTCTATTAAACCCAGTTAAAGAAAGCGATTAAGTCTGCTCTTCCTTTCTGTGTAGCTTGAGATGAGGGGGAAAATCAAAATTGGCTAATACGAAGGAGGTGTATCCACGTAGCTCTACCTAATCATAGTTCTCAGATTGCCTACAGGTTCTTGACTGTGAAGAGAAGTTGAAAAAGCAAGAATGAA